GTGTTCCAACTCTACTGTAGTTGCTGTCACAACTCGTGGAACGCAGAGGCGACTGGCGATTGCAGTCACCGTTGCAGCAGTGTTCCCCATACCTCATAGACGATGACATGGTCAACGGGTCGTTGTGGTCGTTGTAGCTGTCGTTCAGGTTGCAACAGCAAGCATGACGACGGAGCTGATGGTGGTGAGCTGCCGTCAAGTAGCTGCAACAGCATGAGGCGATCGAGTCATGATCGCAACGGCAACAAACACAAGTAGGAGTAAAGTTTGAATGGAAACAAGTTGCTGCTCCGCGATGACCGTGGCGCGCGCGGTACGAACACATACGGACACTGTCCAATGGGTACTTTGAGCTCGGAGTCCTACAGGTGGAAGTATAGCAGCTGCGGGGCGCAGAGAACACCGGTGCACGACGGTGAGCGTGGCCCGTCCAGTACTGACGACGCTCAGCACGGGTGGCGGCAAACGTGGTCGACTGCCGCTGCCCATATGGCTGACGCTGCGGCGGCGGCGGCGGCGGCGGTGCGGTCTTGGAGGACGACCGGCAGCGAGGACGTTCGAACGAGCGCGAAAACTGTAAACGGTCCGACGGCGGCGACTGGTTACCGCAATGACCACCCTCAGCGGTGGCAGAGACGTTCCGATAGCGGCAATAGGCCATGCGAATGTCTTCCGGTAAGAGCGTGGCCAGCGAGTCCCAGTCTTGGATATGCGATGCGCAAGCGTATTCAGAGGTGAGTGCGGCCGCCGCGGAGTTGGAAACTCGCGAGGGCACCGAGTCCTTATAGACGATGCTCGGCGGCGAAGGAAGCAAGGGGCTGGACGGTGTGAGATCGAGCTTGTCGGCGGTGATCATGCTGTCGCCCGAGTTGAGCGACGACGACGTTTCTGGAATGTCGTTCAGTAGAGTCAACGGAAATGGCGTGACGGTAGGCATCAGCGGCGGCAAACCGAACGACAGTTTTAAGAACCTCAGGTCGACGCCACCTGGGGCAACGGCGGCGGCAGCAGCGCAGTGGTGGCCCGCGTTGGATTTCACGCTGGCGCTTTTACCGTAACTGGCGACACTGTCGCGGTTGGCGGCAGCGCTACCAGTGAACACATATGGTACGAACTCATGGCACCCTCGAGAATCTGTAGTTTGCACACCCTTATCCGACACATGCACCGGCACTTGGGTAGCAAAGTCGCGCGAACGAAAGCTCTCGGACAGCAGCAGCCGGCTGCCTCCTTGTGCGGCGGTCACCCTGACGTAACCGCCATTAGATGGCGGCTCACCGCTGTCACCATCTGCACCGCCAACTTTGTACCTAGCCGAGTACAATTCCTCGCAAAAGCTCGACTGCCCGCTAATGGCAAACAAGTCCCGATCGACACCACCACCAACGATGTCCTTCTTCTTGACGCGCTGAACTGCACTTTTGCTGGTCGGCACGTATCCGATCTCGTTGTGGTTGATATCATAATAGCTTCCGTTGATGAAGTACTCGCAGTAGTTGTAGTCGCCGACGGCGGTCATTCGAGGCTTGTAGCCGGGTTTCTGATTGTTGTCGCCGGCACTGGCGTCCTTCACGGCAATGACGACGCTCTTTGGCTTTCTCTCGCAAAAATTCAAGCTCTCCGTAAAGTCTCTGGTATCGTGACCCCCGAAAAACGTCGGCTGTTGCGAAGATTGCGTGACAGCCGTCTGATAGCCGCTGGACACTTCGTCCGAATTGCCGAACCTCAGCTGCGTGGCGGCGGCGGCGGCGGCGGCGGCAGCAGCGGTGGTCGTGAACTGCGTGCCGTCGTTCGCAAGCAGCACGTCTTCGTCGTTTGACGGGGACATGCGCTGCCTGAAAGCATTCAGCAGCGAAAAGCGTGTCTTCTCTTCCACGTCTGATGACAGGTTGTATAACGGCGTGCGGCAAACGCTTCCTCGGTCGCAACCACAACTGCCATGGCTGAAATCCGCATGGTAGCGATGGCTGTGCCAGAGTGACAACGCCGGTTCCCGGCTTCTGCCGCAACCACCGGCGGCACTTCTACGATAACAGTTGTTCGATGAGTAGGTCATATTCGGCACGCTGACGCTCTTGTATGAGCCGGTGTAGAACTTCGCCTGATTCATCTTGTAACTGCGCTTCAGGTTCTCCCAGCTAACAAGGTTGTTCGCTTTCTGCTTCTTGGCCGAGCACGGCCCGCACTCGCTCCACTGCATGCCGTTGCTGACCTTGCTGCCTCCTGCTCCCCCACCTCCAACATGTCGAAGCGACACCTCTGAATCAGATGTCGGAAAATTGCCGCTTTGGTCAAATGTCAACACATAGTCCTGCGTCTTGGTCGTACAGGCGGCATTCAAGAACAGTTCATCTTTCCTAATCGCGCTCGAGTCCAAGCTGTCCGCGGAAATGAATGCCACCGGTTGCTTGTCGATAAATGACTCCAACACTTTCATAGCCGAAGAACTGTTCAGGCAACCGCTGTTCATGAACAGGCTTTCGTTGGCCAGTGATGATGACCTGCCGTACGAACAGTACGACCGGTCACAAACGTCATCGCTGCAACTGCCGTGGTGATGGTGGCGGGGGTACGCCGTCACCGACGACGATGAACGTGGCAGAGGCGGCTGTATGCTCATAGAAGAAGACCGTTCGTCTTGTCGCCGACTCATCTTCCTCGCACAACGGCCAAAGTCCAGTTTTCCGTCTTGAAACGCGTTCGAGTATTGCAAGTCCTCATACCGACCCTTAAGCGCATCGGTTATGCTTCGTGTGCTACAGTTGTTGAAGTCTAGCTCGGCGACGTTCACATCAAACGTCTTAGCCCACTTCTCGTTGCGCCCAAACCACGACTTGCTCAGGGCGGTAACAAAGCACGGATCCATGTTTCTGAAGTCGAAGTCCATCATCAACTGCATATCTTCGTCCTGAAACAAACGCATCAATCAGTTTCAATCACAACTAAAACGCAATAAGATTTAAAATAATAATTCCTGTACAAAATTTTTTCTTGATTAATGGATTAGAGAAAGAAAGAACTATGGATAGTTTCAAAGTCTGTTATCTGTAACTGGTTTCTACGCCCAGATGTCACTACAGAGAACTAGAACTGCTGTATTGCGCTTCGATACAAACACTGGCGAAACTGTCTGACACTGCTGCCGCAGAGCCGAAAGAACAAACGGCATCCTGAAACCGACTGGTCTGAAATGAAGTAAAATGAATGAGACAGACTTTGAAAGGTCACGACTTTGAAAGACATTACCTATTCTTTGAAGACGACGCGATGGATTTTAACAACATTCTGAAGCCTCTGCTACACTGAACCACCTTTTCATAGTAGTCGCTTGTTCAGAGGGATAAGGACATAGATTAAAAGGATCGTAAATTATTAGGCCAAATAGCCTAGGTGCGACGAATATTTTCTTTTCCTCGTTTTCCAATATAATCATTCCCGATCACTCATCCTTCTTGCCCAGAATCGTCATCTTTCCGTTAGATGATACTCTACTAGACACATGAAAAGATCTGGTTATGTCTTCTTTGGGAACAAATGTGGCCCTTATTCCATCCACTTGGGTTTGTAAACAGTGTCGCTCTCCAAAAAATAAGTGTCTCAAAAGCCATGAACTAACCGCAGTTATTGGAAACTTCTTAGCCAACCGCTTCGGAACAAAAGATAGGCTTTCATTGCTACCATGGCAGCTCAGGAGATCGCACTCTACCGTATTTTGTCCTTTCATACAATAGTCGGATCGTTGCCCGTTTTCCGTGATGAGGACACTGAAAGTGGACTGCGAAGAACGAATCATTTATTCGTCCATTTTCACAACCAGCGTGCTTCGAGAGAGCAGCTCAAAAAACATTTCCAATGGTTCTGATCATCTTCTATTCGGGAAGTTTCCACAAACTGAATTCCAAGGTACGGTAATGCCAGATGCTCAATATGTTTTAAACATCTGGCCTTCGTTTTATCCCTGATCGCCTACCATACGACCCAACGATAAAAAGGCAAAAAAGCCAAAGGGTGAAAAAATTCAGCGTACACATTATTTCCAGAGACAAGGCAGCTTATCCAAATCGGAAAATTCGAAGAATTAGAATCAATTCCACTACGAGAGGGGTACGAACAAAGTATACATGACACCGGTTTTCATCATTCGTTAAAATCTTCGTCTCATTTTGTGCATGAGACTACTGATCGGAAACATTCCTGCTATCACCACTAAAGGGTTTTTGAAAACAAACAAAAGCCTAAAAAATTCAAAACTTAAAGCCATGGCAAAATCACAATGAGGAATCACCTCAGAAAGTACAAGTCTAAACTACTAATGAAGAAAAAACACTGTTCAGCGAAACAACATAATAAGATGAGACTCATTTGTAATGAACTGAAAATCTACAATACATGTAAGAGTTCTGGTCATTAAAACCATAAATATAAGGTTAAGAATTTCAGTCAAGCTTTACCAAGTTTCATCATGCCCAGCCAGTTAGAGTTAAACTGAGGAGCGTCGCTGCCTCAAGTACTTCTGATAGTCTGAGCAGTACGGCAACACACAATAAGAAACACAACCTATAAAAAACCTGAGTAGCCAGTCACGTCCAGGTAGGAGCTATAAGCCAGAGACGGCGAAAGAATTCTAACAGCATGGTTTCGACGCATAACGACGTTAATAATGGCTCGGACACACACAGAAAACGACTTCGTCATTTAACACCGCTGCCTTCGTCGCGGAAAGCAAATACGATCGCATGGCAGGGCGTAGTACGGCTGAGTGCACACTTCTGAACCGCAACAGTAACTGTGAAGGCCTGATTTAGACCTGGAAACGGTCAGCTAACGAGGCAGTGATAAGTCAGCCTTACGGAGTCGCTAATGCAGTTGTATACAGTTCTATCAAGGAAAAGGACGCCATGCGTATAAGCTCGGATGAAAAAATTTAGAACCAAAGTCCTAACTAAGTCTTGAAGAAAATATGATCAGATCTTTTTATCATGCCATCTGCCATCTAAACAGAGGATGACGACGACCAATGAACAAGAATGACGGAAGACCCGGTGGTTGCTTGATGGAAGATATCAGTAAAGGAAAACACTGTCGCCGCGTATAATGTGGAGATCTGCTAAGTTTCAG